AAGGTTTCATCAAGACATCAGTAAAATGGAGAGGAGGTTTTGGTTTTGTCTGGTTTGTTTTGAATTTTGTGCAAAGCCACATGAAGGCTATCTGTGCTAGCTGTCCCTAATGTAGCAGTGAAAGACTAGAGGGAAGGCAGCTAGTCATCACCACCCACCACCAACTCTTGGGCTACTCTTTTACCAATGAATAGCAGGATTGACCATTACATTATAATGCCCCCACAGTTGAAAGGGATTTGAACCCATGACCCTCAGATTGTGAGTCAAGCACCCTAACCACATGGCCATGCTGGGCCTGGAGAGGAGGTATTAGGGAAGGTGGAACATCTGCATGATGACTAATTACTGCTGGTCATTGAAACGGGATGCTCCAGATGTGATACATAAAAGAAAGACCACAACACGTAGTTTAGAGACTTAAAAATGTATATTTCACAAACTAAATCAGGATGAATGAGGATGCATATTCATTTGACATCAGCATTCTTACCTTTTCTTCAGTGTGTTTGTTTGTATTTTAGTTAACAAATATAATAATAAAAAATGTCCATTGTGGTAAACAAAATAATAATTTGGTCTAAGTAAGTTTTTTCTTCCCAATTTGTAAAAAATCCTTATGTGATAGAAAATAATGAACGTTATTTTCAAAATCTGCATAGCTGAATTATGGAAAATCCATTATTAAAATTAAAACAATTTTTAGGAAATTTAAATTTGCAGGCCTGTGTAATCATTTGTCTCATTAATTTCATTCAACTATCTTTTATTTTCACTTGAGACTTGGATGGTTGAAATTATCAAAAATAGTATTAATCAGAAATGAAACTAATAAACTGAACAACCTGAAATTAATTGGAAATATTAAAAAGTAATGACAATAATAATATTTTGATTACTTGGATAGTTGGAATAATCAAAAACAACAATAACAGAAACATTGATTTTGATTAATTAATTATTTCAACTGATGCTAATAATGTAACTAACATTCATAGGTAATCAATTATACTTATTAATCAAGTTAATTACCCAGCTCTACTTCTGATGAATATGATAATAACTGAAGGTGGAATATGAATACTTAGTATACAAGAATGTGAAATGAGATGTTTTTATGGGTATCTTGTTATGAGAAAGATTAAAAACAATTTTCTGGTCATTTTTATTTTTTCCAATACTTGTGGGAAAAAGCAAACAACATGTAATTAAATAAATTCAAAGAATGGGCAAAAGTCCTTTTTGATATTCTTTGAACCCCCTAGTTGTTGATTTAAAGTGGGAAAGAAAATATCTCAAAATGTTTGTAATGGAATTCCCTAATTAAGTATACTGAAAAATATAGACTAGAACTGTCTTTCAATGGCTAAAGTTCAGGATGTTGTAAAAATAGCAGGCAGTTTAGTGACAGAAACAAGGGAAAACCTTCTGTTGACAGTGCATACTGAAACTAATGATGTTACTAATGGCAAACCCAAGGAATTAATTATCCTAAGAATTAGGTTTTTCCATACAAGTTTTCCTAAACTATTGAGATACCAAAACACTTTTGGATCTATGAGTTGATTACAGTGTCTCTACAAATATAAGTTAAACACACATACACACACACACAAAATTAAAAATATTGTCAATACTGCAAGTAATTCCAATAATTTCTGATTTATTTACAGAAATATCATCATATTGCAATTAAATGTGTAATTGCACTAAATATTCTGAGTCAATTTTTTTTTACAATGAATGCAAGTAGAGACATTAACATAAAATTCATCAATATATTAAAACAGATATAAAAGACTGTTTAGCATAGGTAATATTAATTAATTATTTTGTGAGTTAATATTTCATGATTGTTTAGTTGTATTTATAATAAGAGAGTTAAAAGCAGACGATTATTGGAAGTTGTGTTTATAATTCATTGATGTTGAGGCTATCGAACATTGTGCGAAATGTATTGATGATGAGGATATAGAGGTTTCTAACCTCTAGAAAGTGAGCTGACGATTAAGTGATAAATATATAAATAGTGTCAGACGAGCGGGAATTGCATACAGACAGAGCAGATGGGAAAGTAAAGTCATGGAAAGTAGAAGTTCCGCCAAGGAAAGTTAAACAAAGTTAACTGCTGCAGGAGTGAAAGGCGTAACAATTAACATGTTAGAGAAAAACTAACAGCTTTAAAAGAGATAAGGAGTATAGTTTGTTCTATCAAAGCAAGTTTTAAAGCAATTGAACCAGTCTGAGTGCACTTTAACAAAAGGAACAGAAGATATCTGAAGTACGAGGACCAGACAATTCCTGGAAGAGCAATATATGATTGTTGTAACTCATACTATAATTGTAAGTGAATTATACATGGAATACTAATCTGATAGAAATAGAGAAAGGTAGTTCGGCTTGTCAACTGAAATTCTAAAGCAATTGGATAGGCCTAAGTGGACTTTTGACAAGAAGAAGAGAACTATACATATAGTGTTTGTGATATTCCTATGATCTGTAAAGTGTAAAGAATTTGTTGTACATACATTTAAGCAGTTTAAATATACATCATTTTGAAAACAAGTGGAGTGTGTGCTGTTCATTTATTTTTGAATTTATCGCCAACAAGTCACAGAACCTACTGTAGAAAAATCTTTAGCCCAACACCCATATTATTGAACCTACTTACTACATCCTAAACTATATATATATATATATATAATATTAAGAATAATAAGCCTCATTATTTTGACACCATCACATTATAACATTCCAACTGTTTAAAGGGAGAATGTATTTAGCTATGGGTTTTCAATCCCACAACCTGCAGGCTGTGAATTAAACCATGCCAGATTCAAAGTGTATGGTAATACTAATAATTTTGAAGTAGGCTTAGTTTCTTTTATAGTAATGTCAGAATTAAAAGATTTGGTGGTGATTAGCTTGTTGTTATTGTTAGATCATTGTTATTAGTAAGTTTTGGTTAAATGAAGCCTATGAAGAATTGTTCTGGAAGAATTTATAAGTCTGATGTGAAGTCAGTGTTAATAAACAAAGAGTAAAAGTAACTTTATTACAAACTTTGCATTTTTTTTCATTTTTAAAGCACAATTAGATGTGAACCATGCAACAAATTTTATCTCACTAAACTTATACCTTACATATAATCTTAATTTATGGAATGAAACGGATTCAATGTTAATTCTTTACAATGGAGCTACTGCTAAGTTTAGAAGTACATAGCATTCCATGTTAATCAAACACTATCATGGTCCTCATAACATGCAAGAACCCTAATGTAACAGAGGAAAGACCATGATTGGGCAAAGGCTTGTCAATATGTTGTTGGAAAGGTTAATTAGAATGCTGTGTACAGTCCTGGCCTCCTTACCTAAGAAAAGGTACTGACTTAATGGAAAGGGTTCAGAGGAAGTCTGCTAGGGTGATTCTGTGGATGTAAAAGTTTTATCTTCAGAAGGGTAAAAGGTGATCTTATTGAAGTTTACAAGATTATCTATGGAAATCATATGATAAAGACTTCTGATTTCTTTGTGCCGTATTCTGAAGACAACAGTATAAGACATCAAAAGATCTGCAGAATGAAGGCTAGGTTCCAGTTAAGAGTTTTACTTTTATAGAAAGGTAATTGGCTTATGGAGTGGGTTGCATCAACAGTAGTGAAAGCCAGTACTCATGAGAGTTTAAGAAGAGGTATCAATCGTGTGTTTAAATTTTTATTTTCAAAAGTGGAGGTATGTAATGACAGCTCTGAAGGATCAAATGGTCTCTTATTATCCATACACATATTTAGCTTTAATAAAAGAACAAATAAAGAATTTTAGGTTCCATTTATAGAAATTTCAAACTTAAGAACAGGTTTTGATGTTTTGTATAAAGAATCTGACATGGCCTAGGTTGGAACAATGTTTATCCCTTTACTACAGGAAGGATATCATGTTTTAAAATAACATGGACTGGTACTTGGTTTAAACTTTAAATCACATAACATACAAGCCTAGCTTTTGGTTTTATTTTCTCTGGTTAAGAAGAATTATGGGGGCTTGATTTAAATGTTAAAATGTTTTCATGACAAGACCTTCTAAAATAAGACTTATAAGAATGCTACCATTACTTGTTACTTAATTATGTTAATATAATGATATCTGGTATAAAAAATCAAGGCTAGGCCTAGTACTAGTACTATTTTAGTGTACTTTTTTAAAATTAAAAGAAGTCTTCATACAACATATTCAAGTTAAATAGATTCATAACGTTAAGAAATGCCTACAAGTAATACAACTTGCTATAGTATACGAGTAGTATTACTATTAGTAAAGAAGATACTGGAAGTCTCTAATCACCCCAAAATTAGTATTACTATTACTAGGTATAATTTGTAACTTCGCTCTTCATACTTTGCTTTTTTACTGTTTCAACTTCAACTTTCAAGCCTACGACTATGTAGATGATTTGTGTAAATCACGCATGAATCTATAGTATAAGCCATGTAGCGTAACCATATAGCAGTTATACTAACGTAGCCTCATACTTATAGTATTACTATAAGTCATAGGTTACTTGTAAAGTTGTAGGGTTACGATTTTTGTATGATCCTGGGGTCTAACTAGTTACAGTTACATTAGACTTTTATTTTTAATTTAAGTTCTAACACTAACACACAGTTACCGTGGGTCAGATAGCGACTCTAGCCTGAGTAAGATTAAGATTATTAAAATACTAAGAATAGTATATGTAGTAGTAATACTAGTTGTAGTAAGACTAAGAACAGTAAGCAGTTAAACTGTTAAAGCAGAAGTGAGAGAGCAAGTCTACGAGATGTTAAGACTAAGTTTAAATCTACTTACAGCTTAAATACAAGTTAGAGTAGAACTAGAAAAGTGTATCAACTGAACTGTTGAAAACGACCAAACACACACAAAAAAAGAACTCCTTCTAACGAACATACAAATTAACATCAAAATATATTTAAAACAACTTAACTACGTAATACTATTTACCCTTACTTTCCTCACATCACACGGCAAACTGCTCTTGAATACTGTTTCCAACTCTAAACATATTTGAAATCCTAGAGTTGCAAATGAAAATCACATGATAATCTCGAGATATGTGCTGAAGCTATAATAATTTATTTAACAGTTTTTATATAAATTTTGAGCATTTTCGCTGTTATGTTACCTGTAGGACCCATATAGTTAATTTTCATCACCAATATATGAAAAATGGCCATTTAACAAAATTACGGATGAAAATTCAAAGTAGCATGCATAAAATAGCTAGTTAAGTCGTAAATACTATTGTATCGCCATTCTTTCGTTAGCAGATTCGTTTAAGTTATCTGATAAAAATAATTCGATATTCTGTCGCTATAACGAGATGAAATTTCTTTATTTCCTCCTTAAAGATTCTATAAGCTGGAACACCTGTACACTATGATACTGTTACGTCTCCGTTCGTTAGTTAATTTTCCGTGAAAATTCTTCCCGAAGAAACTTTAGCGATACAAGTCCTTTCTTAAATAAAACTGGTTTATTTTTTTCTGAATACAACTTTGCAATACACTTAATTTCCACAGTCGCGCTATAACAAACGCTAAAATTTACAACGAACGTCTCACGTGTTCGACTCAAATGTCCGTATCTATCTCTGTCTGCAGTTCAATTACACACATTGTTGCCGTCACGTCTTGACCGTCTTATATGTACAAGAATACCGAAATCTATTAAACGCTCGAGCATTCACGAACCTTCGAGAATATGACGTGTTACTAGCGTCACGTGACCTCCGCTGTCGTAACACTGCCCCTTCCTTAGTATTGTTCGTCCCGAACAACAGACACTTACATT